ACAAACAAAAGTGTGTCAGTTTAGGTTTCAGATAATTAATAAATATTACAATAAATTGTGTTGGGACAACATAAGGAAAGTATGTTAACTTGTTAGTTTTTACACATTTAGGTGAACTGAATATAAAACAATTAAGTTTACCACCAAATATTCAGGAATTGTGTTGTTTAAGTTTATTTTAAATAAGTAATTATTTAATAATTTGAGTGTACAATCAAATTCACAATTTTACATTCAAATATTTTTTAAGTGCAAAAATGAAAATCTACAGCCCTCTCTTTCAAAGCAAAGAGGTCAGAATCATAAACGTGTATTTTACAAGCTAAACTTATTATTGCTCTTAATTGAAAAAATATAAATTAACCTAGAATAGGAAAGTGGATTAAAGAAATGGCATCGCATTTGTCAATGGAAAAGATCATGTACGTTGTCAAAAAGCAACAAAATGTGTTTAAAAATAGCTGGAGACCTTTTAATAAATTCCTGAAGTACAATGTAAATGTTAGCAGTCTACTACAACAAGAACAAGCTTAGGAATATGGAAAGTATCATGGTCTAAACATAGACTCAGGAAATGGTCTAAACATACTCAGGAAACACTCTACCTGATTTAAACATATCTCTTTTTTCATATTTTTTATTTTTATTTATTTATTTATTTTAATTAGATATATTTATTTATTTTTATTTTTGTTAAGGGAATGGGTTGTTGGGAGGGAGAATGGGGGGTAAAAAGTTTGCTGTGTCTTTGCGCGTGCCCGTGAAGGGGTAGTGGTGTCCCAATTCTCTTTAGTTTAAAAGCGTAGGGCTAAGGGCAAGGGGTATGCACCCTTTCAAACGAAGAATTTTCAGGATCACACTCGAAACCAAGGGGTAGGAAAAATTTTCCAGAATACACTAGCTCCAGCTGCACCCGGAAGTAAGAAGATCCACCAATTATTATTTTTTTGTCATTTTTATGAATTTTTCCAACAAATATATGTTTTAATATATATAACCACGTTTGTGTTTTACCGTCATGCTTTAAAAAACAAATAAACTCTAAAATAAAAAAAACGCTAAATTTCACGATCTATAATCCCTAATAATAACTTCTGTGCAGCAGTCCCACAACATTCTGACACTCCATGACACTGGAATACCCAGTCAGAAAAGTGTAGGGGCTGGGAATGGGCTTTTTACAGTATCTGCTATAATGTTAATGTTGTTTTTGGTGTGTTTACAGAAATGAATATGGTCACTGTGTAAATGCATAGTACTGTTTTGATCTTATTGCCACATTAGATCATTATGATAACGTAATACATGGCTTCAGTGATTTCCTAAAGATAAATACCAAAAAATAACTCAACTGGAATAACTACAGCAGTCGCCATCATCTGAACTCATATGAAGCAAGCGATCGCGAGGATATATGATGACGTGTGCAGGTGATTTAGTGCTGTCCCAATTCTTAGGGTTAAATTTTGAAGCCCTTCCCCTTAACCCTCGGTTGCAAGGGCTAAGGGGAAGGGGTCCAAAATTAGAATTGGGCCAAATTGTGTCTTACCCGGAGTACCCAAATAGACTCAGTACAGGGCACCCCAACTATATGTACATTCTGCCAGCCATTCATCCGGACTATACACCCCATCACGTTTTGCACCCATTCAGTTGATTCTATTCTGGACACTGACCTGCCCTTTGCATGTTCACTGGATTACTTCAGTGACCAGATTACTGCATTTGCTACTGTTTTGCTCTTGATTTTGACCCTGCCTGTTTAACCATCTTTAACAAAGTTGTGCTTATATTTTCTCTACATTGTTGTCCACCATAATTACACTCATTACAAGGGTAACTTAATTGAAAAATTAATTGTTTAAATGATGGTATAATGATAGTGATATGGCACTACAAAGGTTGTCAAGGACATTTAAGGACAGAAAAGTTCATTATAACTCATTTAGCCTATTAGTAGTACACTTAGGATACAAAATTCACAAAAAGTGTTTATTTGTGAACATTATCGTACCTAGATGAGCAAAACAAGCAAGTAGAGCTTGTTTGTTTTTAAACAATATTAACCATTTAATATTTTCCATATTAAAAGGAATTTTTGTTCTAGAGACATGTTTTAAAACGGCTTCTATTTCTTGCCGCTGAACAACAGAAATCTGACAATAATGATTACCATTTTTTATAAAATTTCCAGCTATACTACTGAAACCAGCAACAGATCTTGAAAAATCTCAGGTCTTGAAGCCTTGAACACACAGGTATCAGTGATTCAGTGTGCACACTTTATAATGGTAAAGAAAATTAATATAAATTAATTAGATTATAATTCTTACCATTTCATTGGAGTGCAGTAAGTGCACTATTCTGTGCTTCTGAATGGCTGTATTTAAATATGTTGTGTTTCATCTGGTGCAAACAGCCCAATTGCTTATCACTGTGTATCTCCTTAAGTAGCGTGTTGTTTTGACATGGGGATACAGTTTAACCTGCTCAGCTAATGTTTACATTAGTACTATCTATTTATTCATTTTTTTCGGCTTAGTACCTTTATTAATCTGGGGACGCCACAGCAGAATGAATCGCCAACTTATCCAGCACACGTTTTTACGCAGCAGATGCCCTTCCAGCTGCAGCCTATCTCTGGGAAACATCCATACACACTCATTCACTACGGTCAATTTAGCCTACTTAATTCACCTGAACCACATGTCTTTGGACTGTGGGGGAAACCAGAGCACCCGGAGGAAACCCACGCAAACGCAGGGAGAACATGCAAACTCCATACAGAAACGCCAAATGACCCAGCTGAGGCTTGAATTAGCAACTTCTTGCTGTGAGGCGACAGGACTACCTACTGCGCCATTGCATCGCCCTCGTAATATTTATATTATTTGCTAATTAATAACCACCACAAGTGGAACTCTGAATCCGGGTCTAAAAGGCTGCTATTGTCCACGGGAGGTGGCATTTCGGTCACGAACACATCCATTAAGAGCCTTCCAGACTGAATGAATCAAATATGCTGTTTTCCACCAAGGCAACTCGCGGTCCTGAAATATAATTGGCTAAACAGCCATTTGGTGGGTTAAATGACCAAAACCAAGACAGACATTCCAGCACATAACACACATTTTCAAAGCAGAATATCTGACTTCAGCATTGTTTTTAAGATATACAAGAATGTTCACTTAGCATGTTTCTTAAACATCTCAGGGTTCAACGCTAAGGATTTTTTCTACTGGCCCGATCGGACCAGTAGTTCCGATTTTTACTTGCCCTGCCAATATTTTCACTGGTCCTAACAAAAAAAAAAAAAAAGTTAATAGCTATTTCTTAGCCACAAATTAAAAACAAAACATGTCAAAATTTATGAGCAAAATTCAAAGTTTTTTGCAAACAAAAGTAGCAAAATGTGCAGATATTTTTTTGCAAAACATAAGATGGCTGATCTGCCAAACTGACGGCAAACTGTACAAAACATCACTTAATTTTTAGTCGTGGTGTACCTTGTAAATGTCTGCTTCCAAGACGTTAGAAACAAATGTTTTCCTTTAGCATCATCACTTGATGTTGCCGCCTTGTTGCTGTCTCTTCGCTGTACTAGTTGTTAAGAAAAAAATAACGTGCTCACATCCAATCAGATAAGAGGAAATGAGCATTTAAAGGTAGCATTTGAAGGCTTAAACACAAACTGTTTCTTGATTCTGACTGTTTTTGCACGCAATTGACAAATAGTCACAGGCAAATTAAACTTTAGTGACAGGACATCAGTGGCCCGATCGGGCCAGTAACGATCCTGTCTACTGTCCCGAGCATCTCACACGCTGGGACCGGGCCATCGGGCAGTCCTTACTGTTAAGCTCTGCATCTGCAATCATGTTATGGTATTTTTATGCTTTAAAGGAGTCAAAAAAATGTACACACAGCACCTTTAATATACTTAATTCTGATGCAAATTATATCAGGATTCACATTTTAAAAATTATTCTGTTTAAGTCTCTCCAAATTAAAATCGCTATCTAATACCATTTACGTAAAGCAGGGCAAAATTATATGTTTAACAGTTTAAAGTGCTACTGCAATATTGACATTTTGAAGCAACTTCTCTTTAAGTAAATGTCCATGAGGATCAACGATAACAGAATTTTTATTTTTGTGTGAACTAACCCCTTTATTATCTGATCTTTAATAGGTTTGCACATCTAGATGCTTTGAAATTTTATTCTATTTTTATTTTATCTTTATTATGGTAAAGCCCCTTGGATAAACTACAGTTGGATGAAATTGTGCTATATAAAAAAAAGTTTGCCTTGGCTTTGCGTTAAACAATCATACAGTATGCCTTCCAGTATCATACTTTTTATGAGAAGCTCTAGATTTTAATAATGAAAAATGCAAATGGCGGTGAGCTGCGAATCAATTATAAATTCAGTATGCATACCTCATCAAATAGACTGCGGGAACAGCTTTCTGTTATTAGAACTCAGCACGCTTGACTATTTTATGCAAGCGCAAGTCAACATTAGATTTCTAGCCCCCTAATGCAATATTTAGTGTTAAATGCACTCGCATGACATTGAGTTTCATATCTTCTGCAATATGCAACAGGGCAAGATAAGTTTGCAACATAATTTGATTGCTAAAAGCGGAGCTCCGGGAATCTACCAGGTGCTTTATGATACGAGGAGGACCGTTTGGATGCTGAACTGTCACGTTGTCACACCGATGGCAGTTGTAATCCTAATCAACAGGATGGCTCTCTACAATTCCAATGCAAGCTCAAGTCAGCACACGGGTGAATGCATTCCTGTAGGTCTTCCATTCTATGTGTGAAGAGGGATTACTGAAATGAAAAAGGTGGGGAAAAATTATTGTGCACGGTGCTAATGATTATGATTACAGGATGTCAAATTGGAGTGTTTTATTTTTTCTGGGGAAGTGGAGGTGAAATTGAAAGCACCAGGATGACATTCGCAGACAATTCAAACTGAGAAGCTGGAATGGATCGATACACCTCTAAACTGTCTCCTGCTGTTGATTACAGTGCGGGGACGTTCCTGCTGGTGATAGGCAAGTGCAAATTTTCATACTTTTACATTTTATGCCTTGATGACAACCCTAAGAATTACAGCTAGGAATGCATGATAATGCATTAAGCCAGTGTGTGTTAAGAAGTTTCATAGCCTTTCTTTATGAGGTTGTAAAATCAGTCCGATCCACTTTGAAAAATGCATTTATTTTAATGAGACTTCTATGAGAAATGTAATCATTTGCGCTAAACGCGCCTATATTATTCTTGCAGTTGTCATTGCATTTGACTGTGCACTTAAATTCTGTATTGTATGACGATTTTATATGCAAGAGATTGGCACACACGTCACGTCTCTTTTGCTTTACACAGTTTGATACTTCTGTTATCACCAGACACCAGCACTTTCCTCGTCCAAGAGGCGGCATGCAATAGCAAATCACAGAATACTCCATGACTCACTCTCTGGCTTGATAGATGGCAATCCTTATAATTATAGCCATTTTATTTTTGTCCAAGTTGAAACAATCATTGACTACTTTGGTGGCAAGGTTAAACAAAATGCAAACAACTAATAATATCAAAATGTCAAATCCTTAAACTAGTAGGCTTTTATTGATAGTTACATTTACAACCCCACAACATTTCAAGAGTTTTCTCACATATTTGTTGGCAAACAGGTGATCCTCAGCCCATCTTTGTTCCTAAAGGACTGTACAAAATCATAACTACAATCACATTCTGACTCGGCATTGGACAATAATCGGTTTCAAGGTTTACTGCGGTTTAGAAAAGTTTTCTGTGTTACTGTTTAAAAGATAAAAGTAAGGTTTGTTTGTTTTTTTTACATGTTTTTTATATTTGTACATGTATTTGGTTTTTAGAGCAACAATATCTCCAGCAGAAAAGGAACCTGCACATCAAAAGCTACTGGCCCGAAATATTTCAAATGTTTCTTAAAATCAAATAGATTGGTGTTTAATGGGTTGTTGTTGTTTTATTAACAAGATATTTAAAAATATATATTTTCGAGCAATAATCAAAATACCTTGATACTGTGAAACCGTGATATTTTTATCTAAGATTTTTTTTATAATGTCAGAATCTTTATTTGTAACCAATTTACCTGATTACTAGTCCTAAATTTCTCCTGTCTCAACTTTTTTGGAATGTGTTGCAAGAACCAACTATGGTTTATTAAAAAATAAATAAATATAAAATAAAATAATAAAACAATAATAATAATATGTCATGAGGAACAAATTTAACAATGTTTGTTGTAATGTCTGCAAAGAAATACAAGTCGAAGTAAATTTAGAAATCACTACTTTGTTTTTTATTTGCATTTTCCATGCAGTCCCAACTTTTTCTGATTTGGTGTTCTATTATTAATTTTTTGTGCCTTAAATTATGGAATGTGCAAGTTCTTGATACATGAGTAAAGGGCCAGTTCGCCCAATTTATTGTCATAACTTCATTACCTTCAGTTGTCACAAACCTGTTTGAGGTTCATTCTTTCAGGACTTCACACTTAGCTATTGCTTGATACTAATTGCAGGTTTGGCCTGCTATTCTGGGAGAGAACCCTGAGCTCGGAGATAATTGAGCACAGGGCTCCAGCCTGGTCATTTAGCTTAAAAGAGGGTCTGAGATCAGGTAGTTCTCAAGAGCTTCCCCTGGTAAAGGAGAAAAATGAGGAATGCGGTGGACAGAGGGGCTCTTAAAAAACAAAGATAAGGGAAATAAGGTGAAAAGGGCTATATATTGCAGGCTTGAATTCATTCGATGGCTTTATTGATGACTACAGATGAGAGACCGGCTGTGATCAATCATATCACATGCTCCACTCGAAATTAGTTTATAAAACTTCACTTTGTTCAACACAATGGCAGTTCTATTTTTAAAATTAAAAAACAGGTAACCATTGACTTCCATAGTATTTGTTTTTCTTATGGATGTCAATCAATACAGGTTTCCCAGTTTCTCGAGTTTTTAATGTTTAATCCAAATTAACTGGATTGACACTGGAAATTAATTAATTGATAATTCAATCCATTAAATAAAAAATAACTTGCAGTCCTCTGTATGGAACTTTTTACAAATTTAAATAAATAATTTTGATATCATAACTTTTAACTAGCTAGTCATAAGCTGGTATAAAACAAGTAGACTTGAAAACACCCCTCTTGAAAACAAGACACTTTGAGAAATGTTGAAAACCAAACAGCTGTTTGAAACTACTATGAAACAATAAACGGTTTCAAGGTTTACCATGGTTTGGAAGAGTCTTTTCAAGAGGTTTTAAAACATTACAAATTTCCAGCAGTATATGAAAGGTGGTTGTTGTTGGGTTTTTTTACAACCGTTTTATTTAGTTTTTTAGGGTAACAGCATCTCCTCATCAAAAGCTTCTGTTCACCCCAAGAATCAGCAAACTTCTGAAAAACAAATTGCTTATAAACTTCAATCATAAAAATCATAAAACATCCAAGCATGTTATCAGGGCTGAACTGGGGCAAAAAATAAAATAAAAATTCGGCCCTGGCAATTTGGGCTAGAGCAGCCCACTACATTTAACTAAAATGCTATCTATGTGTGCATGTCCAATATGCTTATCAACTCCTATTTTAATAAAACAAAGAAGCCATATATATGAAATAAATAAACAAATAGATACAGACATTTATCTCAATTATATTTTTGTATACCATCCATAAAGATTTTTGTTAAGTTCTAAAAAAATACACTATTCATTCATTTATTTTCCGCCGCCTTAGTCCCTTATTTATCAGGGGTTGCCACAGCGGAATGAACTGCCATCTATTCAAGCATGTTTTATGCAGCAGATGCCCTTCCAGCCACAACCCAGTATCGGAAATCACCCATACACACTCATTCACACACACACTCATACACTTCTGTGTTACTGTTTAAAAGATAAAAGTAAGGTTTGTTTGTTTTTTTTACATGTTTTTTATATTTGTACATGTATTTGGTTTTTAGAGCAACAATATCTCCAGCAGAAAAGGAACCTGCACATCAAAAGCTACTGGCCCGAAATATTTCAAATGTTTCTTAAAATCAAATAGATTGGTGTTTAATGGGTTGTTGTTGTTTTATTAACAAGATATTTAAAAATATATATTTTCGAGCAATAATCAAAATACCTTGATACTGTGAAACCGTGATATTTTTATCTAAGATTTTTTTTATAATGTCAGAATCTTTATTTGTAACCAATTTACCTGATTACTAGTCCTAAATTTCTCCTGTCTCAACTTTTTTGGAATGTGTTGCAAGAACCAACTATGGTTTATTAAAAAATAAATAAATATAAAATAAAATAATAAAACAATAATAATAATATGTCATGAGGAACAAATTTAACAATGTTTGTTGTAATGTCTGCAAAGAAATACAAGTCGAAGTAAATTTAGAAATCACTACTTTGTTTTTTATTTGCATTTTCCATGCAGTCCCAACTTTTTCTGATTTGGTGTTCTATTATTAATTTTTTGTGCCTTAAATTATGGAGTGTGCAAGTTCTTGATACATGAGTAAAGGGCCAGTTCGCCCAATTTATTGTCATAACTTCATTACCTTCAGTTGTCACAAACCTGTTTGAGGTTCATTCTTTCAGGACTTCACACTTAGCTATTGCTTGATACTAATTGCAGGTTTGGCCTGCTATTCTGGGAGAGAACCATGCTTGGATGTTTTATGATTTTTATGATTGAAGTTTATAAGCAATTTGTTTTTCAGAAGTTTGCTGATTCTTGGGGTGAACAGAAGCTTTTGATGAGGAGATGCTGTTACCCTAAAAAACTAAATAAAACGGTTGTAAAAAAACCCAACAACAACCACCTTTCATATACTGCTGGAAATTTGTAATGTTTTAAAACACACTCATACACTACAGCCAATTTAGCTTATTCAATACACTATTCACTCAGCCTATATTACATAATAATAACAAAAACTGCCTGCTGATGCATGGGAAATTCTTCAAAGAGAACAGTGTACTTCATAACTCATTCATTTTATCTTAACAATGAAAGCATAATATAATATCAAAATGAAACAAATTTTACTTATGATTAACAGACACCAAACAGCCTTGTGTAGCTATATATTTATATGACTTCATCATCATCGTCATCTTCACGCTGCATATTTATAACAAAACAAGGCTTCTAATATAATTGCCTCCTTTAATTTTCATTGAAAAGAACAAACTTTACCACGTCTCTTTTGCAGAAATATTAGTTTTAATAATCAATATTGGCCATTATAAAAGTATAACGTTCAATAAATGTATACGATAAATGGAAGCAATCAGTCAATGTGCAGAATCAATATACGTGGTTACATAAATTAATATATTAACTTATCTTTGCACTCAGCCAAAACAGAGTTACCTGAGAACATGTGATTCAAAAGACCGTAGATTCATTAGCTAGAGACAACAAGATGAATTCAATATCACGTTAAACAACTATAGTAAGATGAGATTCAACAGTAGATCTTTGATGAACTGTCCTACAAGCACTATACTCTCACCTGATGTTATGCTCATCCGCTGACCTACTGGCTGCAGCTCTTGGCAGAGTGTGTGTGGTCACGTGATTTGCGTTTTTAGCCGTGTACTAGTATGAACGGACAACTTATTTTAGCACCGCTAAATTAAACGCCAGTGTGTTTCCTGCAATTTTCCTGCGCCTCCCTTCCGTTTCTTCTCTCTGACTCGACTATTTTGACAAACACACGTTACACACAGATGATACACGCTTACACAGAGCCCAAAATAGGAGTTTGTGATTGGGCCAGCCCAATGTCAATAAAGAAAAGAACCAATGGGCTGCAGAGTATCACATGGGCCGGCCCCGTCTGTCTGTCTGAAAATAAAGCACCTTATCACACAGATCACGGCATCGTCAATTAATAAGGCAGAAAAAAAACGAAAGGCTGCTAAGCCTTTTATGGGCCGATCAGATCTAAGACGACGATCAGCCCGGCCCAAAAGTACATCGACCCAGCAGAA